GGGTCTGTGCTGACTTTTTGCTCCAGGGCTGCACAGGCACTGCAGCTACCCTGCGCAGCAGCTCTGCTCAGCATAAATTTGGGACTTGTTTCCATCTGGGGCCTAGATACAAACTTGGAAGATACAAAGACCCTTCCCTATCACTCTCTCTGATTTCAAAACTAATAATTTTCCTCATCAGTGCACTTCAGATTAGATTTAAAAAATTGGAGTAAATTATATTTCTGTGGGTGTAGGAATTCGTAACATTTATTGAAACTGTGATGCACTGCCTAACAATCCAATACTTTAAAATCAAGTGAAAAAAATGTTGAACATAATAGAATACAAGAGAATAGTAGATTCTGGAAAGAAATATTCATCATATGGGACCAGATCTGCTAAAGAGCACAGGCACACGCATACACACAGTTCACCGTCTCCATGTGATTGGCAGCCAGCACAGACCTCCTGCTCACCATGCAATGAGGGAAGGAGATGCTCCACACTAGGCAGGGAAAGGCCCCATTGGGTCCTGTACCACCTACCACAGGGGAGCTTCAACACCCTTCTGCAGATCCCCTGTTTCACCGTGTCAGTCCTGCCATCGGGCAAAGCAGAGTGACTATTCCTATCTGTTCAGCATTGTGCAGAGTTAAGGTGATTTAGTCTGAGATTCCTTGATGCTCCATTTCTGGCTTTTGGAGCCTACTCCCTTGGACATACTCGGTTTCCTGACTTCTGTGGAGATAGCAAAGCTTTCTACTGCTTCATTCAGCCTTTATTTCATTTTGCTCTTGAACACCACTACACAGGGAAGAGAGAGAGAATGGAAGCAAAGCAAACCAGGAGCAGAAAGGAGGTGAAGGCTGGGCAACTGTCTGCAGCCGTTTCCCAACAACTCTGAGTTTGTGGAGAGGATTGCTGGCAGAGGATTTTTGGCATGTTTACATTGCATCTTCACTGGATATGAAACAGGCACTTTACTTAATGGACTCTTTGCCAGCCTTTCAACAGCCTCTGCAGAGCTGAAGCTCCCACATTACTCTTGCATTTGCAAGAAGGGAAATACGTGTTTCCGCTGCCATCCTCCAGGCCTGCCTAGAGGAAATGTCTGGGTTAGACTAAACTCTGTAGTGACAGGGATCCTGAGGAAAGAGCTGCACACAGGCACCTGCTTAAGATGCAGCTGCTTGTGCCTGAGGTAGATTAGCAGCGACCTCCCAGGAAGCCCAGACAACCAGGGAAAGGGAAACCGTGCAGTCCCCAGAGGGATGACGGGGAAGCCACAGTGCTGCTTGCTGGAGGCATCTTCTGGAACGCATTTGTTCACCATGTTTGTTTGGAGCCGGGAGCTAAGACTGAACTGTTCAGATGTTAGTCCTGTGCACTGCAAAGAGCACCTGCCACCAACACAGGGGACTTGGCAACAATACCATGGAGCACACATCTTTGTTGGCTGCAATTGCTCAATGTGAGCACCCACTTGCTTTTTCCTCGAAGCCTAATCCCGGCTGAGACTAAAAAGTAGTCAGCAACTGAAAAAAAATGGAGGGAGCTTGAATATCCTTTTTCAAGATGAAAGGAAGAACAAGGTTTACTTACAGGATACAATATAGTCTCCAATAGTCACATGGCCACACAGGATCTGGCTGCCACTTTGTTTGCCACTAGACTTATCTAGAATGCTCCTTCTGGATGCCAGCCCGTGGCTGTATCTTGCAATCTCCAGTTTATCCCAGAAAGAAGTCTGCTTTACCTCATGCTGCAGCCCATAGATCAAGATATCTCAGATGACCCAGTAAAAGAGCTCAGAAAAGCTCAGGGGCTTCTTTTTGTTAGGATCTCTGGTCACTGTCAGACCTGGTCACTGAAACAGAAACTGGGTCACAACCTCTGGTAAGAACAAAACTCATCCGGCATAGGAAAGGCAAACCATGAGGAATCCTCCAGCCACTGCTCTACTTTTTGGAGCTGAAATCTGACTTTGATCTGCCCCTGAATTTACACCTTGCTCTGACGACAATGTCTCCACTGGCTTTGGGTCAGACGCTTCAGCCCAGACTCGAGGAGATTGCCTGTGGACAGGACGATATAAGCGCCACACAGAGTCCTGTGAGACATGGAAACATGGAAACCATCTTTTCCCCTCTTCTTGTGATGTTGCCTAAACCAGGCCAACAGTAGCAGCCTGTGATGAGAATGCTATGACTGCCTGTACCTCCTAAACTTCACACAGGGAGGCAAAGTCAGAGGCTGGGGAACTTGGAGAGCTGTGCCCTACCACAGGCCTGGGACATCCCAGAGGGAGGCCAGGGAGGGCTGTGCACTTTCTGGGGTCCTACCTTGGTGGCCAAGCTAGAGGACCTCTTAGATGACATTGACGTCAATGCTTTTGCATTTGATGCATGGAGCACATGCCACACAATTGGAAGGGCTGCCTTGCACTCTAGAAAGCTGTAAGAAACACAGCAAGCAAGCACCTGGACCAGGCAAAGAAGTCTGGTGAGAATGGCTTGGCAGGCGGGGCCACTCTTCGTCTCTCAAAGTTCCATGGGGGCCAGCTCAAACTCTGGGAACTGCTGGGGTGAATGACCCTTCTCCTTCTGCAGCTCTGTGTGGGGCAGGCCAAGGGAAGTCTCCACAGTGCCTTTGAGACACAGCACATGTCACTCACCCCATGTAAGCGTCCTCAGGAGTGAAATGTGACACCGAGTGTGGGGGGCAGGTGTCACCTTGCATACCAAGCCCCACTGCCCCAGCCCATGTATCCATATGAGGTATTCCCCAGCTGCCCTTATCACTATTTCAGGACCACTTGCATTCCTGGCTCTTATCAGGTTTTTTCTAGACACATGAGCCCTTGAGCTCAAATGCCACTAGCCCACATCTGGGCCCCTCCCTGTCCATGCACTGAGCCAGCTGCACAGAAGTCGGGGGTGCCAGTCTTGAAAAAAGGGCAGCTTCTGGCTGATAAATTGTTTTTTTTGCTCAGAGGATCACAGAAATCACAGACTCTCAGGCTGTTACTTCTCATGGCTCTCTGTGTTTTCAACCAGAGACTCATTGCACCTGCCACAGGGCAGGCATCTTCAAGTTTTACACCAGTGATGCTCACCAGTGCCCTCACTGCCAGTCCCAGCTCTCCCAGTACAGAGTGGTTGGAGTTACCAGTGCTTCCCGGGTTCTCCAGAAGAAGCATGTAGGGGGGGACGCATCATCTCAGGATGGCTGTCACTATCTATCTCCACAGGTGATTTCAAGCTATTTGAAAACCCCAAGGTTTCAGTCAAAAAGTGTCCATTGAGCCTACAGCCAAACTTACTGTAGAATGGTGCTGTTAATTTGCTGGCTCTCTGGCAGTCTTGGTACTTTTAACACCCAATGGCCTTGATTGTGATCATCTGACCCCCAAAATCACATAGACAATGGCTTTAACCTGCTGAGTGTAACATCTAGAGGATATTAAAGGCATGTAGATGTGATGCTTAGGGACGTGGTTAAGTGGTGGGCTAGGCAGTGATGGGTTAAGGATTGGATTTGATGTGAAAGATCTTTTCCAACCTTAATGATTCCATGATTCTACACAGGAGCCCTTGGGTAGAGAGGAGGAGTTGGGCAGCATTGCTCTTTGCTCAGCAGCTCTCTACCCATAGAATTTTGCCTTCCATGAAGATTTCTCAGGAGAAATTCTGATATACCTATGACACTGAGCAAGGTTTTTTGTGAGTCCTTAAGCTCAAATGTGGCCCATGTCTCCCCTCACCCTGTCTGGTAGGGAGCTATTGCAGATGTCTGAGGGAAAGAAGAGCTGAACAAGCCTGTAGTGATTTCTCTCCTGATTACTTTCCCAGCCAGGTCAATTTGCAGATCAAGGATTTCCTGAAAATGCAGGAGTACCTTTGCATGCAACAGTGGCTTTTTTGATTCTGTTAATGTGTCTGGTCCCTTTTTGAACTCACATTGGTTTTAGCATCCACAAGGTACTGTCACAGGGAGTGGTGCATTTTACCTACACCTCCTTTACAAATGGAAAAAACAAGAGTGCTGATGGATTGACAGGATCACTGATATGATCTTCATTCATGTGCAAAGTCTTAGACCAGAGTGAGTTGTGAAACAAACCAGCCAAACTTAACTTAAGACAACAGTGCAGATGGCAGCTGAGCATGTTGTGGGTAACAGCAATACCCAGCAGGAGCCCATCTGGTCTGCAGCAGGAGCTAAGGCAGACAGGAATCTGCAGAGCTGCAAGAATCACAGGGTGCACAGCAGGCAAAGGTCTGTGAGCCAGTTCACTTGTGCACAGCCCAAAGATAGGCTTGATTATTTAATACAGAATAAGATACCTCTGTATTAATAAGGGATGAGTGTGTTTACCTTAGACTAGGATATCTTGTTGGATTACATACCATACCAATAAATGAGTTCTCCACATCTTGTCTGCCTCTCATCATTCTGTATTTGCTTAATGTAGCACATACTCTTCATTTTAAGCACTATGGGGTTTTTTGCCTATTCCTGTGAGAGCCTTGGTCCCCTGAGATGGGTCTATGAACTCCCACAGACCACATCAAGGGCATCAGTAGCCATCAGTAGCCCTTCAGGGGGGAACAGTTTCAAATAGGGAAATATAATCATACAATCATGGATGGATTTATGTGGAAGGGAGCTCTGGAGGCATCGTTCCCATCCTCCCTCCTTGTATGAGGACCACTTTCGCAGTCAGGTCAGGATGTCTGGGGCCACATCCAGGCGAGGCTTGATGGGCCCCAAGGATGGAGGTGCCACCATCTCTCTGGGTCATGTGCTGCTGTCTCGTTCTTCCGGAGCAGTGGTTTTGACCTATCTCATCATCTCATCTCTGTTGCAGAAGTGCCTGTTGGCTCTTGTCCTTTCACTGGGCACCTCTGAGAAGGTTTGGCTCTGCATGCATTATCTCTCATGCAATGGAAGATGCATTTGCAGCCCCATCAGCCATTTCTCCTCTGGGCTGAGGAAATCCATTTCCCTTTCCTTACATGCCACATGCTCCACACTCTCCTCAATCTGGTCGCTGCCACTGAGCTGCAGCCTGGCACCATTTCTCTCAGACAGGGGATCCAGACTGGGCACAGTGCTCCACATACCGCCTTGGCAGTGCCTGGCAGTGGGGAACACAGCCCTGAAAATTATTTAAGAGACTTGAACCTTAGATTGACAGGGAAAAAGCAATTAAACCTGGAATGCAGTGCATATTATAACCACGATGTCCAATCATAAGGTGATAACTCACCATAAGGGAGAGTAGGCTGCAAAACAAAGGAAGACTACTGAATATATAGGATGTGTGCTCAGGCAGATAAGCAATGCTGGGGGCCAGCAGCACTGTGGTAGACAGTGGTCAGGTCCATGACAGACCATGCACTGCAGCATCCCTGCCAGATGGGGACATTACCTGCTTTGTAATGTTGGTGTCAAGTGCCCTCTCTGCCCCAAGGCAGTCGCCTCCAACCCTTCATCAAGAGATTTATTTTAAATATATTATTTAACTTGGGAAATCTCTACAGATTGTTTTGCACTTATGTCTTAATTTGAAATTTAGGCTTTATATTTTTGAGTATGAATTGTATGTTGTAGCTATGTACAAGCATATTTATTGCCACATAATAATTTTCATATTTGCAGGTGTCTAATGAAATATATGCCCACCCCCCCACTACCCACACTACAAGGCAGCAGAAGCAAAGTAAAGCAGAAGTACTGATGAACTTGGCCCCCAGATGGTGTGAGAGCAGAGTCTGAGAGCAGCCAATCACACACAGAGCCAGCTCTGTCATCAAAACCTTTGGGTTAACCAGGGGCCACCAATTGCTATTTATAGCTGCCTTAGCTTATGTTTAAGCAGAGGCTTTAAAAATCTCAGTTGGAGGCAGTTTGGGTGCCAGGGTAGCTCCCTCCTGCATGTGATTCCCTGAAAAAAGAGGGTGTAAAGCCCCAGTTGTGCCGTTACACATGCTGGACAGACCCTGGTTGCCGAGGAAGCCACAAACAGCTTGGGTTAAGCTGTTAGTCAAATAGTACTTGCTTATTTGATTTGATTAAGCTAACTCTGGCTACCTTTTGGTGACCCAAGGAAATTCCTTACTTGAGCAAACCCCACCATAACCACAACTCTAGGGGGTGTGGGACCAAGAGCTATGAAGGTTGTCCCAAAGCTGTGAAACAGCTCAAATCCAGCTCACATCAGCAATGACTTGAGCTGCATTAGGCATTGTAAGGACTCCCACAGAGGATCCAGCCAGCAGAGGGAAGGGAATCAACCAGACCCTGAGGGAGGCGAAGTCAGAAGACCGGACTTGAGTAATTTCAAGACTAGGCAATCAAAGAGAACTGAGAAAGTTGGCAGAGTTTGAAGTGAGTCATCCCTCTGTGTGACATGCAGCCTAGCTATACAGCCCTTCTCCAGGACGTGACAGCACCTTCCTGTCTCTGGGACATGCTGACCGAAGTGCTCTGTGAGTCTCAAGATGATAAGGTTACAGCAGCCAGCCTCAGAAAATACAGTGTTTGGTCTTTTCCAGGTTTTTGCCACACTGGGAGCCTGAATGTCACAGAAGAGTTTGCATTCTGAAGTGACCCTTAGATGAATGGAAATAATTAGTGCAGAGCATTTGGTACCACCTGAAATTTTTCAGCATTGCACTATGAGTGTTGATGGAGTGGTCCAAAATCGGACTAATATGGTGGGGGTCAAAGTATTTTTGAAAAATTAGGAAAGATGGCCTATTGTGGCATTTGACTTTCAGAAAAAATGCCTGAGTTAACACTGCAGTTCTGAAGGTGAAAAAGATTACAACCTAAGATGGCTCAAAATCTGTGCAACCACATTCTTTGCAGGTTCCTCTGAAAAACTCAACAGTAGATCGTATTCTGCTCTTTGAGCTTATTTGGGCATAGAGCACAACACTGGACACTTGCAACTTTCCATGAGCATCTTTGTGCAAGAGTGCACGCATGCAAGTACGTGTATATGTGTCTATGAGTCACACAATGCCCATGTTGCTGTCCTCTTGCACAAGACATGAAAAAGCAATATTGCATTCACTTCCCTTCTCAAAAAACAGACATCCAAAGTGCAGCAGTCACCAGCAGATGTTTAGCTGCCACACACTATTGCATCTCTTCTAGATTTGTCTCTCTCAGGAGCAGATAAGTCAGCAAATTAAATTCCCAACCTTCTTGTGGTGACTTTCAGAACCATCATATTCATTTCAACTTACAGATTTTTCTGCAGCCCCTGGCTATTTCTGGTTTTTTTCCAGCTTTGCTGGTGTTGCTCAGTTCAGATCACAATAAGCTGGTCTCCCATTTACAAAGACAAAGACCTCCTTCACCACCTGCTGTGTCTGCACCACCTTCAATTGCCTTCCAGCACTTTAACTTCTGCTCAGGATTCAGTAGCATCCAGGGTAACTTCAGGGACACCAAGCAGTTTGTTTTAGTTTTGGGAGGAGGTTGCATTTTCTTTATGCTGGTTTTAGCCACTGCAGGGTCCCAGTGGCTGCTGGTGAAGGCTGGCAGCACCCTCCTCTTCCTCATGCCATCCCATGCAGCAGAGGGAAGCTGGCTAGATCAGTAACAGGAGATGAGCAAAGACTAGAGGAAGAGGAGGGATGAAGGAGACAGACAAAAATGCTTCAGGCTGCATGGGCTTGGGACATGAGCTATTCCCAGCTGTCAGCACTGGAACGCTGCTTACCATACCATCCAATGGCCTGACTTCCTCCTCCCTGACCAGAGACAGAGGCAGCCTTCCTATGAATAACTAGCCTGCTTTCTAGGTCCCGTTAGAGTTATTCCTGCCCTGGGTGTGTCTCTTGTCTGCAGACACATTTCCTAAATTCTGATTCATCAAATCCAAGCTTACAAGTCCTTGCTCTGGTGCCAAGAAGCTGAGCATAACCAATTCCTGTGAGGTGCAGATCAGATTACCTGGATCTTGTGAGATCAGGCAGGGAGAGAGTTGTCTCTGCAGGATCCTAAGCACTCAGGAGAGGAGGAAATGCCACTATACCTGCAGACACTGGAGGTATTTGTATGCACCAAACCTGGGATCTCAAGTGACCTACTTAGCAGCATTTAATGTGCACCTTCAGAAGTACAGGATCCCCAGAGAGGGGTAATTTTTGCTAGCACTCAGTTTCTGCAAGAAGGAAACTTCAAGCTTCTGGTTAATTGGGTAAATCCTTGAATATCACTTTCCTCCCCACCTAGGATTAAATTAAAACTTCCAAATAAAAAGGCTGGGTTGCACTTGAAAAACTTTTTCGAAGAATGCAACGGCTGATGATTGGAGTAGCTCCAGCTGACCTCCTTCCCCAGCACCCTGAGCTCTTGCCTTTACCATTGACATTTCCTTTGGCACTTGCTTGAGATACTATTTAATAGTCAGGCATCTTATTTCTGCTGATTTTCAGATTCCCTCTATAGTGAATGCACAAATTTAGGCAAGTCCAGAAAGCAACGGATCTCATCTTTCATTGACACTAATCTTGGGATGATACAAAATGCTTCCTGGAGGGACAGACCATCTCTGCTGCAGCAGAGAGCCTGGGTGCTCACAGAGGCTCAGCTGAAGGGTATGAATCCCTGAAAGGAGCTTGGGATCACATTTATCATTAAGAACTACATGCACTCCTCAGTCTGACTTTTTCCCTCTCAGCCTTCATCAGCATACAAGTGGCTTTCAGGCAAAGCACACGAAGATAAGCCCTCTGAGTCCCCAGGCCTGGATATGCACAAGTTCCCAAGACATTTGCCCCACCAAATAAGGTTTGCAGTCTTTGTAGGGCACCAAAGTTAAAATACACATTGCTTCACTATGACTTATGCATCTAGGACAGGTTCAAGTTCAGCCAGTTGGATACTCGCATGGTGTAAACAAGGCAAGCTGTTAATGCAGCTGGACTGATTCAGCCTGCCTTAGAGGACCTGAGCCTCCCTCTTCTCTGCAACTGCATCAGTTTATCCATTGGAATAGCCCCAATTCCTGTACATATTCTTGCCACTCCAGCCCAGCCCTTGCTGTCCCTCTCCTGTGACAGCACATGGGAAATTTGGAGGATTTGAGGTTCTAGTCCAAGCTGTGTCTTTATGCTCCTATCTTCCTTCATGTAGGAGGGCTTGTACTGTAAGGACAGGGGCACAGTTGTTGCACTGCTTTGTGCAATCTTGGGACAGATAACCAACCTCCTTTCTTTTGCTATAGCTTTTCCAGAACCTTGTTGATGGGAATGAAATCTGTGGACTGCAGGAAGGCAAGGTCTTCAAATAGCTTTCTGAAAAGAACGTCACAATGTTGAGAAAGCAGGAGGTACCATTCCCTTCTTGCAGAGACTTGTCCCCTCTTGGGTCCCAGTGTCTGGGGAAGAAATTTTTTTAACCTGGTATCAAGCCTTGCCTTGGCACTGATACAACATTTTCAACAAGCACATTGTGTGCCTGGCCAAGGACCTACCTCTTTGTTGTTCCTGTCTGCCTGTCATTTAGTTTCTCCACTCATTTGTTTCCTTGCCCTTTGAGCCCTTTCTTCACTGAAGGCCCATTCCCCTTTCCATCTCTGAGTAGCAGCTTTCCTCAAGGTGTTTGTAGTAACTTATTTGCATTCATTCCCCCCCCATAATCTCCCTTTTTTGCAAGAGTTTTCTAGGTCGCTTTTGCTAGGCATCTTTAATATTAAGAACCACAGTTCTGTAATACCCAGTCTTTCTCTACAGCACACAGTACCAGGCCAGGCTTTGCAACTGGCCTCACACCATCTTCTCTGTGCATGTTGGGCTGGAAGGGAAGGCGCCATGGTCTTCAGCAAGGCAGAGTACACACTCCTTGGAGTGTTTGACCATGGATGCACACGAGATCCAAAGGGAGACATGCCAAGGTAAATACCCTACTTTGGGCCTTCAGCCAGTACATTGAAGCAATTCCTCATTTCAGGACAGAGCCAGGAGCAGTGCTGGCCTTGGAGTGCAGACCTCTGCCTTGGAGCACAGACCTCTGCACAGCTTCCTAAAGCACAGTCAAGAGCCTTAACCGAGAGCGGGATTTCCTTTTATACTGGGAAACCTTGAATACTCTTTGCTTAATTT